ATTAATTAAGGGTAGACTCAACACCCTAGCGAAGTAATTTGTTTTGGAAGGCGGGGCAATCGATTAACCAACAGTTGTACTTTAATTTTCCAACTAATGTTTTACACACACATGCGCAAAAATATGCGTTTATAAATAAAAAATAATTATCAAACATTAATATTAAATTAACCTAATTTTATTCCACTACACATTACCTCAATTTAATGAGGAAAATTTTTTTTTTACTGCTTTCACATCCTCGCCGGGAATCGAACCCGAAAGACCATTCTTAATACAGTAGGTTAATGTTACTAGCTTACTCGAATTCGCCTGTGTTTAAGTTTTGTCCACAAATTCACCATGTTGTTTAGGTCAATAACATTGCAAAAATCTTTTTTGCTTTTTATCGTCTTTGGACATCATATCTCTCCTGTTTAATAACAGACCTGGTCGAATCTTTAACTATTTTAATGTATATTTAACCGCTACCTTTATGATGCCTTTCATAAAAGAGCATTTTTACTAACAGGCGTTTTGACACGAAATTATGAAAGAAGTCTATTTTTAACTATTTCCTAATTAATAATACAAGTTGAAAAAGTCAACTGGCTAGGGCCCTGGACAGACTATTCCTAAATAATTATTAGCTTCTTCAGGGGTCGTTATTCCGCTTGTCTTTGCTCCTGTGTTCAATTCAGATGGGTAATAATGGAGACTACTGTCTCCACAACATCCATATTTTACATACATCCCTTTTTAATTAGCATCTTTTCTAACGGTTTTTACATTTATGGAGTACAATCAACTCCTAAAAGTGAAATAAAAATGAAAAGGTAATAAACCGTTCAATATTCATCGATAAATGATTCGTTTGTTTTGGTGAAACGAATTACTTTTTCTAATGTTGACACAAAATTTTTTTTGAAGTGAATTACAATAAAATGGCTTTTTGAAAGTAGTTCTTTATGAATTATAGAAGAATAGAGTACATTACAAATAAATAAATAAAGCAATTCCTTGATCGGTAGTATTTGTAGTTATATACAAGGAAAGTAATTTCCTCCTGGAGTCCCAAATTTATCCACATTTGGAGACCATTGGGAACTAAAAGGGATAAAATATTTTCAGAAGGATAGTATAAGAGTTAGCGTTATTTTACTGCTTAGCTAACGTTTTGTTCATCAACTCTGAACCTCGTCAGAACTTAAAGTTAACATGTCACAGAAGCTTCATTCACTACTATAACAAGAATATAAACAGATAAGCAACAATATTCCATCGTATTTCTGTGCATAGTCATCGAGAGTATGATCTTTCAACATATTAGACAAAAGCTTCTTTTTGTTCGAAAAAGATTGTTAAAAATCTATGTTTGGAGAGCGGCGCTGTACGGGTGCAAATCATGGACAGTGGGCGCGGTGGAAAAGAAAAGATTAGAAGCATTCGAAAAGTGTTGTTACGGCGAATAATGAAGGTACCGTGGGTAGAGAAGGTTAGAAATGAATAGGTATTAGAAAGAATGGGAGAACAGATGACTCTATGGAAGTCAATAAGAAATAGGCGAGGTAGGTTAGTAGGACGCCTTCTCAGGCATGAATGGCCTAGGAAGGAAGGTCTAGTCTAGAGGTAGAACCTCTAAGATGTCTCTGACTAGGAGTTAAGAGGAATAGAGGTAGACCCGGATTAGATTACTGTTTGCAAACAGATAAGGATGTGGGATCTTCTTGTTTTAGGGAAATGCGAAGATTAGCTCAGGGTAAGAAAGAGTGGAGGTGCGTGTCCAACCAGTCTTAAGATTGACAACCTTATGATTTTAACTACGATTACGACAACCTGTTCTACACCGAAGTAATACGTTACTCTGGTGTATAATGTGTTGCTTACCCTGTCAGTTTTCAAAGAGCGCAACTGTACGTTCGATAAACATAAAGTTATGTTCCAATGGCCCATTGAGACTGTCTAGTCGTATAATATCCAATTACACGAGCACATTTGAGGTGTAGTATCAAACATAAACATGAAATTTCCATTAGTACTTCGTTTCCGTTAATTGGGAGCAGAAAGGCATATAATTTCACGCACAATGAATGTAATTCTAGGGAAAACAAGAGAGAAACAATAAACATCAATTGGAGAGACGCAGTCAACTCGAAGTTAGAACAGAGCTTTGGGCTGTCGGTTCTATAATTAAATAGACAAGAAACGAAGATAGTCCTTAAGTAGATCCTTATGTCTTACTTTAAAATTCAATTAAGGATTTGATTTTCCTGTACTTCGAAATTGTATAGGGTTTGTTAACATGGAAAACAACGTATCCATTTTTTAATAATTTCTTTGTCGATACACAACAGTGACGGTTCCTGGCTTTAAAAATAGGTGAAGAGCTGCAAAAATCGATGAAAAGTAAACATGGAATTAGATATAGTAGGTCTTGGAGTAGTCCACCAGAATATGCGGCAAAGAATGTGTGAAACAATATGAATATTTCGAGTTAAAGTACATCATACAAAGGGCGTGCAGGTGCAGAAGATTAGTCGTTCCGGTGCGATCTCTTCTTAGTTCGGGAACGGATGGGGAACGCTAAATCTACAAATTTGCTGATAACGGCACCGTTGTTATGGAAATCTGCTCGCGCTGGCAGAGATGTGACAGCCACGCGCTTAACTCTTCACTTGTGCATTTCTTGAGTATTTTGGGGTTACTTCGAGGGCCATTTAAATTAGAAATTACAAATTATTTCAAATCTTGAGGAGCTGTAATTTCACTTCGTATGAGCCCTGATTTTGAATATTTCTCAAAATTCGTTAAGTCGTTCTTAAATTAATCGTAAAAAATTATCTTTCGAAAAAACTGCACATCTCATCATCCTATGATACTTATACTAATATTTGCCTACATTTACAACCTTCTACAGATAATATTCCATTTATTCGTGCAAAACGTTTCAAAATTCATGCAGTGGTTTCGAGCTTTACAGCAACAGACCGACAGATGGACGATACAAATTATCTGAGGGATTACGTACGCAAACGTGGTATTTTACTGGCGTTTATCTACATTTTGGTAAATTTCAATCACCTGTTCGCTGTTGATATTCCAGATTTTCGATAATTTGATATTGCTAGACAGGCATCACCACGCCAAGCAACGACGTCAACGGTAATCAATCATAAAATAATTAACTGTCTTACGGGATAATAAACGTGCAATACTGGAGCGACAATGAATTTTACAAAATTGATATTTAAATTCGGTTCTGATGACGACGTTATTTACGTACTTTTGAAATTTATGACTTTCCCTTCATGTAATTGTTGTTTTTCTTTATCTTGTTGGTATAAAGGAAAGTACTAAGAGTGCTTAATCCTTTTTTTTTAAGGATTACGTGCAAAATAGGGGCTTATGACACTCTTCCTGTAATAGCATTAGAAAAATACCTTCTTAACATGAGCTCTTTTATTTGAAGCACTACTACGTGTGTGCAAAATATGTTTTAATGTTATATTACGACACATATTACATATACAATAGTGCACAGGAAGCTTTTTATTTGATGTAATTCACGAGGAAATTTCTTTCGGGTATTATTATTGAATGCAATTTTGAGAATACGATCATCGCGTCTTTAAGGCCATTTTCATCAATTCTTTGACGACTAAATTTGATAATTATATTGATATTGTAATTACAACTAATGGATCAGTATATTATGTCTTAAATCTTATTTAATATCCTCAAGTCTCAAGAGAGGTCCCTGATACATGCAAAATAAAATTTTTATTTAGTAACTAAGTCAAATTTAGTAATTACAGTTTATACTAAATCTTGTTTAAATGGTTTCTCCATCCACGTGAACAACTGTAAAGCTTTACTACAAAAAATAACAGCTATTATGTAGGTATTCTTTATAATTTCACATAAAATAGAAAGACTTCTATGCAATTAAGGTAATTGAATTATTATAAACTGTTCTGCAAATAGTTTAATACATACATTGTATAGTAGATCAATGAATAGGTATCTTAATTATTTAATTGTTTTTATTTTACTGAAATGAAAGAAGAGTATATTATAAGTGCACAAAATATTTTATTATTATCATCACTTGCTGCATTCTACCTATGGCAACAATTTCAATATTAATTTACGATTTCTAAAAATAAAAGGTAGTTAACAATATAATTGTATAGATACTGGCTTCATTATCTACGAGATATTTGAAACCTTTCGTTACAATAAATATTGAGAGTAAATACGAATATTTAATTAAATTGCCGTATCAGTACCTATCTACCAAAGTAGTCAATAGTGTGGGGGCGGGGATATCAAGTTCCATACAATTCTGTCCGATAATAAATGAAAAAAGTTTTATGCTGCTGGATTATACAATATTATGTAATCTATTTCCTGCATGTCTGGTTGGATAAGCCAATTAGTTGTTGTATACTTAGGTACTTCCTTTAACTAACAATAGCTCGTAAAATAAAATCTGTAGAAAAAAAATTGAATATATCCAAATAATAAAAGTCAAATTAATAAATTTATTTTGAAAGTATTGCATAAGATTTCGTTAAAACCAAATTTAAAAATATACTTTTTTTTAAAAAATGATATATAATTATATACAAACCAAAAATTTAATTTAGTTAAATGACAAACTCAATTGATCTGAATGTACATAATCATTCAATACAAAAGTGTTCCTGATTGAGATTCCTTTTTTATATTTATTAACTAATTTTAGAGGGGATAGGGTAGGCATATAAAGAAAATAACGGTTTGAAGTTATGAAAAGTTCAAAATTTCGACAGAAAGACGAAGGTGGTCCTACAAAGGTACGCATAAAACTACACTTGTTGGCACTTTCCAAATTGTTTTATGGTTTTCATAACTTCAGTCAAATAATTTACTTTGTTTTCAAATTTAAATCACAGCAAGTGGCAAAACCACCTCCAGTCTTTTTTATATATACACAATACACAAAAATTGAAACAAAAAAAAAACATATGACCACCTACCGGTTCATGATATTCTTTTTACTTCTTCCCCACTTCGGGGGTTTTTGAACTTTGAACCGTGGATGTGAACCAAGGGTCGGTGCTTATTAAAATATGTTCAGATAGTGTTGGGCACCGGTGCCTTTCACAAGGAGGTTACATTCGTGACCACATGTTCTGTTTATTTCACTGGGAAAACAAACTGGAAAATGCAAACATTATTTCGAAACACACAACCATACAATCGAGCTTAATCGATAGCCCTAGGGCCGCATCAACTGCGCCAACACACGTATAACCGCCAATATAATTCCGTAAGTAAAATCTTTCGACGCGACCGACGACGACAACGCTCGCTGGGTATTTTTGCACGTGGCCGTCGGAGTTTCCGGGAAGTCCATGCGCCGCCGCGACGCTAAGTTATTTTGCGGGCGCATACAAAAAGAAAACGTTCAGCGTACAAAGTATAACGTACCACATCGAGAGTTAAATTCAACATGGCGTCTTTGTTTAGAGTATAGTACAACATGCAGCCGCCATTTTAAAATTCTCATTTTCTTAACTATCATGCAAATGGTGCATTCTGATAATCAAAATATTTACAAACTTTTTAACTAATAGTGGGCACCGTGCACCTGAATCTCTATTATCATTGAATATCTCTTCATTTAGGGTCTAACCCCAAAAACCCGTCCTACTTTAGTAAATTGTGCTACGCTTGACGCAAATGGTGCATTTTATAATCAAAATGTTCATAACTTTTAATTGAATGTTGATTGTTCTTTTTAATTTTTCCATTAAACTTTTTTCCTTTAAAACTAATACTCTTACTTAAGAAATTATAGCACGCCAAACTTTAACAAAGAACTCCTCTATTGCGCACAATTTTGAAAAAGTTATGTTTGCAAACGTTTGTTAGTTTCTAAATAATTAACCTTAGAGATAATGTATTAACAAAGAAATAGAAAATTCAGTTCTTCTAATCAAATACATCTGAACATTTTCATCTTAGAAACCACCGTTCCTCAAAGAAAATTTACATAAAAATGCTACTAATTAATTAATTATTTGTACGTAATATTTTGTAGTCTGTTCAAGAACAGTATTTAATTTCACGTAAAAGTATTACATTTCCTAACTTTCTTTCTAGTTACATTATTAGAATTGTAATATTTGCTGTATGTTCAGTTATCTGCATATTATATTATAAATTGTACATTAATTCCAAAAAAAACAATAAAAATTACTATCCCTAATTGCATTTACATAAAAAAATATAATTTAATGATGAAAATATATCAATCTTCTACTATGAATTCTTTATTTAATCATCACGTTAGGAGATGTTATATGTGGAAGATGCCAGGTGATTTAGGAAGATATTAGCTAGATTGTACACCATTTAGACAAAGATTTAAAAACCAAGTGAAATACTGTAGAAGTTATACAGGAGCAGATATAAATAGCAATCATAACCTAGTAGTTATGAAGACCAACCTTAAATTTAAAATTTTTAAGAAGAAGGAAGATAAGAAACGTATATGCATTAAAAATATTAAGAAAATAATAAGACTCCAGGTATAGGTGGAATACAGGGGAAATCTTAAAACATACAGGACAAGAGTTAGATAGTGAGTCATATTTACGAGACGGGAAAGTCCTGGTCCCGGGGGACTATAAATGAAACGTGGTAGTATCCATACATAAAAAGAGAGGTGCAGATAGGTGTGAGACGTTTAGAATAATTAGCTCTACTTTCCATGCGTTAAAAATCTTAACTAGAATCGTATAGAGAATGATGGAAAAAAGGGCGGAAAATCTATTAGGGGAAGACCAATTTGGGTTTAGAACAGAACGAATGCGTACATGGGATTTGTAAATTTACAAAAAGGTTTTGACAATGTTAAATGGAACAAGATGTTAAATATACTACTAAACGTAAGGATGAGTTACAGAGATAGAAGAGTGATACTTAGTTTGTATAAAAAGCAGCAGACAGTTGTAGGGCTGGGGCTGCAACATAGAGAAGTAAATATTAGGAAGGAAGTCAGACAGCGATGCACACTGTTACCACTACTTTTTAATCTATACATCGATGCAGCGGAAAATAAAAGGTTACTCATGAGATTACCGTGAATAGATAAGGTCTAGAGTAGGAGAATAGAGAGCGCTGTGGAAGTCAAAAACAAAAAAGCGAGAGGTTGGTGTAGGACATCTTCTCAGGCATGAAGGACTAGATAGAGACATTGGAACAAATGGGAGTTAAGAGGGGTGGAGGTAGATAGATAGATTTGATTACTGTTCACAAATAGTTAAGGATGTGGGATGGTCTAGTTTTTGGGAAAATGCGAAGATTAGCTCAGGATAGGAAAAAGTGGATGTGTGTGTCCAGTCAACAATAGGACTGACGACCTTATAATGATGACTATGAAACCTGAATTACGGCTCAGTTATATATAGTCTTTGTTGTGAATTAACGCGGCGCCTCCACCAAACTTTAGATGAAGTTTTTCATAATTACTGAATGATAATGTTTGTGTATCTTCATAAACGGCTTATTGCCAACATTTATACCGTAGTTCATAGCCAAAAATTAACTGAATACTCGTTATTAATAGCTAAATATTTCTTTATCAAGGTGAGGGTTTTTAAACAAATTTAAAAAGAACACATGTAAAATATATGACTAATTAATTAATTATTTCGTAATAATGATAATATTTTATGATTTGTTCAAGAACAATATTGAGTGTCACCAAAAAGGGTTATTTTTGTGAAAAAGAAATTTATAATTTTCTTCATTAACGTTAATATTGATGTATGTTTGGTTGCCTATCTATTACATTAATCATAGTTTAATTGTAAAAAAATATATAAATTAGTATCCTTAACTGAACTTACAGATATATGATAATTTAAAGATAAAAATTTATCAATCTTCTTCAATGAAACATGAAATATGACTTAGTTATAGCGTTTATTTTAAATTATCCCAGCGCCTCCACCAAAATTTTTGTTAAAATTTTTCAATTGGTAAATGAACGTTTATGTATCTTCATCGCTTATTTTTCACATTTAAACAACACTTTACAATGAAATAAAGACTCATAATAATTGTATTGCGAAATATGTAGGCATAGATGTGGAAGGAATCGACTTTCGTACTACCCTGATGTTTTGTGAACTTGTCCTGATTACATAGTCTAGCTTCAGTTCTGGTTTGAACACTAAATTCTAAATTCTATCGTAGCAATTGTATCATTATCCATTACGCTTATTGAGATAAATATAACTTAAAGTAGACTTTTTAAATCTTAGTGGAAATACCAATACCAAAAATTAATAGAAAGTAACTTAATTGTTTCGTGCCTAATACTAGCAACACATAATTAATAATCATCTTTGCAGTAGGCAAAATGAATTAATTTTTCATACAAAGGTCTTTTTTGCCTATAAAATGCATTTTAAAAGTTAGTCAATTATTTTATTTTATAAATTTCATACATTTTTTTGCACGTATACTGTAATATTTTTAAAGACTAATACCAGTACCTAAAATATTTACAGTAAATTTGTACATATATTAAAAGTATGTACTACACTGGAAGGATTATACTGGCTAAATATGCTTGCTACTTATGGGCTTTCAAGAATAATAAAGAAGAAGATTTATGACGTTTGTGACATTTACATAACCTTTAAACTGTGCTGGTAATGTTTGTCGCATTAGTACAATAAATAAGTAGTTAGTAAATCCAATTAACGATAAGTCAGATTAATTTATACTCTTAATTCATGTGGCATATACATGATCTTTTTGCTAACGACTTTATTGTCGACGACACATAGTTCACACATATATTAAGGAGACATCCACAGTTACAATGCAAAGAAGAGTTATTCCCTTAGTTATTTAGTGAATTTTAAAGACTCGTTAAAATTTTAATATCGAAATACAATGAGGGTCGCAGCATTGATAAGTGGTGGCAAAGACAGCTGTTTTAATATGTTGCAATGCATAGGGGCTGGTCACGAGATAGTGGCCTTAGCGAATTTATGTCCCAAGAAAAAGACAGAAATGGATAGTTACATGTTTCAAAGTGTTGGTTTTGAAGCTATTGAATTAATGGCAAAGGCCATGGAATTACCCCTTTTCCGTATAGAAACTGAATGCAAATCAACAGCAAGGGAAATTGATTATGAATACACAAGCAATGATGAAGTGGAGGATATGTTTAAACTGTTAGAGAAAGTTAAAAAAGAAGTAGTTATTAATGCTGTATCAGTCGGGGCAATTCTTTCAGACTATCAAAGAATTCGCGTTGAAAATGTGTAAGTATTTGACCATAACTTTTTTAAATTATTGTAAATAAGTTTTATAAATGTATAAAAACGATTCTCCTCAGCTTATTGTAGATTAGTAGATATCTTATCATTTTACTTGTTATGATTATAAATTTTTAGAAGCCAAAATTAATATAAATATTTATTCAAACTGAATAATTTCAAGTACATATAAAATGTAATTATGTTGTTTATTTGATCATCCTCTGATAGCAAATTAAGCTATTTATTTCAATAGTTCAGAGTTGATGCTTGCATGTGTTTTAAAAGATGATAATGACGTTGTTGGCACATGACTATTTAAAAATAGAAACAATAGCAGAATTGGATGCTATTGCCAAAGATTTAAAGTAGCTCAATTTATTTATTTGTATACCTCAAATTTATTGCTGTTTTACTTTTTTAAAAAGTTCTTAACGTTTGTTCAAGTTTATGTAACTTTACAAACTGTTGTACAGGTTCTCACACAATACATAATAGGGAAATAACTTCTAGATGGCATTTTTCGAAACATTTCACCTTTTTTTAAGTGAATGTGTTAATTTCCTGAAACTGCTTTTATTACAGTTATTTTAATTTATATTATACAAAAAGATAATCGTTAAGCATTTTATGAAATTGAAAATTCGATAGTAATTAAATGGATTTCTCAGTTGTTCAAGACTAGGATTGGTACCTTTGGCTTTTTTGTGGCAACGAAATCAAAGCGAATTGTTAACAGAAATGATAAAATGTGAAATCGACGCTATAATAATAAAAGTAGCTGCATTGGGCTTGGAGCCTTCTCGGCATCTTGCACGTCCACTGCGTTTAGTAGAGCCCCACTTGCAAGCCATGAACGAAAAATATGGTCTTAACGTGTGCGGAGAGGGTGGAGAATATGAAACGTTGGTTTTGGATTGTCCACTCTTCAGTAGCCGTATAATTATGTAAGACATCTGCTACTCATCTCATGTTAGAAGACAAAAAATTTTAAATACATTTTTAAAAAGTTTGAAAATGAATCATGCAATATTTCTCTGGATATTTAAATTTTAGAGATGAATCAGAAATAGTGATGCATTCAAACGACCCTGTAGCCCCCGTCGGTTATTTAAGATTAAAAAAATTAAGACTTGAAACTAAACTTCCTGTACTAGACTTAAAGGAAAGACTTAAGGGAATTCCTGTAAAAGATAGTGATGGATACATAACAGATTATGGAGAAGAAGCGGTAGAACTAGTTATAAATGGTACTTACTTAGCAACAAGATAATCGTTTTAATTCCTATTATTACAGAAATATTTATTCATAGATAGTCAACAAAACGAAATCGCAGTAAAGGAGCAAGACAATGTCGATTGTAATGAAAGATATTATGCTCCAATTTCGAATTATTCTTCTGTTAAAAGCGTTGATGGGTTCATATGGATAAATAATTTAACAGGAAACTCGAACGAGCCCGCGGAAGCTCTCTCGGAGGCTCTTGAAAAATTGAAGTGTAGGTAGGAGTCAAAACTGGCAAATTAGTTTGCATTATTTGATAATCATACTAGTAGGATTTTGCTTTGCTCATATATTCCGCTGATTCCTTTCGAGAATCTAGTGACTTAATTCGCGACTTGTAGCTTGCCTTGAAGAAGTCAAAATGGGATTGAATGATATCTGTTCTGTGACGATGTACATAAGTGATATGGGCCTGTTTGCAGACCTTAATAAGGTTTATTTGAATAAATTAAACTTTATTAATCCACCATGCCGCGCTTGTGTTCAAGTGCCTTTTTCCACGCCTAGCATGATTATTTTGGACGCCGTGGCGTGGAAGGTTCCTGATACTTCCAGCGGTGAAAATCCAGCTCAACGGTAAGTGTCCAGAAATGGAACCCAGTGAAATCTTCCATATTAAAGCCTGATAAAAATTGGACCATTTAAAAGTTGTGTGAATTAACACTCAAAATTTTGACAATTTTTTTAGTCGTACTATGCACGTTCAAAGTGTGTCACATTGGGCTCCAGCAAACATTGGCCCTTACAGTCAAGCGGTCAGAATAGGCGATGTAACGTATGTTGCTGGTCAAATAGGTCTCGTACCTGGTAGCATGCAACTTGTAAAGGGGGGTCTAAAGGCCCAGTGCAAGCTTTCCCTTAGGCACGTGCATCGGATACTTAGGGCAGTTGATGCCAGTCTCACATTGAGAGACGTAGTTCAGGTTAGTCCTGGCCTGGCCTGGGTTACCATATAGAACATTTTTATGAGCATTTTGGTATTACAGGGCGTTTGTTACGTTACTGATTTGAAACATGTGGAAACAGCTAGATCATTTTGGGAAGAGAAAACAGAGAATGCAATTGTTGATTACGTTGTTGTGCCAGTCTTGCCAAGAAACGCTCTAATAGAGTGGCATGTATGGGCCCATAAACATAACAATCGTTTTGATTGTAAGTAATTTTTGCTTTTTTTTTTATCGTGAGACAACTGCTGAAGCTATAAGTCTCATTTCCTCATTGATTTCGTTAACAGATGAAGAAACTGGAAAGTGCGTTGATAGTTGGTCAATTTCGATATTTCGTCGTTGGACAATTGAAAGCAACATTGCTGCAATAATTTGTAAAGTGCATACGAATAATCATAATGAGGTAGTCGGACCTTCTGAAGATATTTTACTCGAGGCTCTTCAATATACTGTACAGAAACTTCAACAGAATCATGAATCAGAAACAGAACCAGTTTTTGTATTAAAAATATTTTATTCGGTTAGAAAACGTGTAGCAATTGACAAGTTGATAGAATCTCTGAATGAAATGAAAAATTCATTTCCCTTAGCATACACTGTCGTACCTGTAACCGATTTATGTTCTGAATCTACGTACTTGTCTATTAGTGGAATTAGGAACTTGTAAGTAATAATTTGAGCAATACTCGTTATTAAAGGAGAAGGAAAAGTTCTAATGGTAAACAGAGCAGAAAGTACTAGAATGTTGTAAATCCGTTTTTCATACAAATTAAAAATATTTTTGATGGTATTTTATTAATATGTAACATTAAATGGTTTTTTATTTTTTAATGTGTATTTAAGAATTTTATGAGAGATGAATTAATATAAATTTAAAAATACATTTTATTGTGATAGTATCTGCCCGGACAGCATCGATTGAATGGCGCGCGCATCTCTCCCTCTTTCTAATACAATTTTTTTGGACTGGATAAACCGACTTTGACAAAATTTAATTTGTTTTTATCGTTTCCCTATGTTTATAGTCGTTTGTATTACACATGTGCTTTTTTATTTTAATATATATTTCAGTTTGCCTTTGTTTGTGTACTATTAAAACGCGTTAGTGAGAGTTTATGCTGTGATTGTATAAGCTTTTTTTTTAGTTAGGAAGATGATTTATATATCATACACGAAGAAACAAGAAGGAAAGAAATAAGTGTAGTAGTAGTACATTGATTATTAGTTATTAGTAGGTAAGAAATAAAACAAAAAAATACAAGACATAATGAAATGTGTATTATTTTTAACAATCTTTCAAGACAGCAGGAAAATGTACATTCAGTGAGAGAATAGGTTTAGGATATGAAACAAAAATGGTTTTAAGATTAAATATAATTACGTTTTAAAGATACATATAAAACGACTAACAAGCCTTAGCCTACGATCACAATTGCTCTAAAGTAAGTTTTCTGTGTGCAGCACAATTTCTAACGACTATCAACTAATATTTTTAAAGTGATTCGATTATAAACGCTGTCCATGATGAGTGAATGGATTGACAGAAATAAAATATTTATAGCTTTTTGTAACAGAAAGCGTTGTAGTTTCTGTTTAATTTTTTGAATGAAATTGTTTGATAATATTGCAATTATAAAGCATAAAAAAAAGTATGGACATTGAATAATAATTCCCTACTATTGGGAATATTTTTTTACTCATTTTTTGTCGCAAAAAAAGGAGTCCAAAAAGCCTCAATTATTTTTTGACTTCCCAATAGTAGTTTATGTCGCAACGAAAGCAAAAGCTTATTAAAATGTGCTAAGTGATAAAGTGTAATATACAATCACAACGCGTAAAAGGTGTATTATGTTAATATAACAAAAAGTGAACTATCAAGGCTGAAATGACTTTCAACTACATTAAAGCAGCTGAATGGATGGAGTATGATAGTTACATTACCATTAATAACATATCTTTTTTTTTGACATTCTGTTTAATTTATAAATATATCTTTAATATCGATTTGTAATCGAGTACTTATTTAAAATCAGTAAGTAGCAACAGTCAATCATATTTAAGAAGTTTCAGGAGTTACACTGTTAAAAAAATACATTTGAACAAAAAATAGTAACCATTTTTTCAAACCGTTATAAATCACACACTCTTAAAAATGTTAAAAGCTTTATCTTTCATCTGATTTTTTAATATTTAGCATCTATTGTATTAACAGGGTAACTACCACACCTTAAAACACCATCGAGCGATATTTATAATTTTTTTTTTTAATTCAATAAAACCAACCGTTTCTTCGTTACCATTTAAAAATGCTTCATTATCTTTGGAATTATTGTTTATTTGTAGGAAACAATCTCATTCAATTCTCATGCCTTTACAACTATAATAAAAGTA